AGGAAATGGCAAAGCAAAATTCAAAGGATAAAACACAGATGGGACTTAGTTACATCCATGATTGATGACTGGTTTGAAAATACTTTCAGTGTGTTACCTTGTGGACTAGGTAATGAACTTCGTATGGGGCAACGTGAAGGCATGAGACCATTTCTGAGGGGCGAGGCCCTTAGTCATGATATCACTGCGTTGATCGTCATGTGCTGGAACATGCTGAATCAGCACGTCGCCGCTGCTGTTCACCACCTCGCCTGTGGAAGCAACATTCACAGGTGACGAAGTTTCTGGGAAAAACCTTTGAGATGATGGCTATGACCGCCGAGTTATCCTCCAAGATTCTTAGAAACATCGGTGGGTGAATGACTTGCCACAACTCCAATAATAATGGCAGCCCTTCGGAAAACAAAGCACCGGACAGCGAAACAAATTCTGATTCTATTGTGCTGCGGTTATCACGCTTTGTTTGCGACTCTCCCATGACAGGAGAGCCAAACTGGATGTGCTCAAAGAACGCAATGACATAACCAGAAGTCGATTTCATCGCCTTTGAACCTCCGGCAAAGTCAGCGCCACAGTAAAGAGCGATATGAAGCTCATCCAGTGGGTCGTTGATGGCCATGACATGTGCCAAATCCACCGTGGTTGAAAGATAGCCCAAAAGACGGGCAGCTCTCCTGTCGCCATTGACACTCCAGATTGTGATATGCTTAGCAAGTTAGCAAGGGTGTTCACGGCAAAGGTCACATCAAGACGGGCAGTCGGAAATAACAACATCAGCTTCATGACAAGTCGCGCAGCAACAGGAAGAAGCTGGCCCTTCACAGCATCATCAACGGGCAACGATGACCCCTCTTCCAAATGTGGTGTTGGTGCAGCTTTGATAGATTTCCCACTCAGCTCTTGATACAATGAAAGGCATTGGCGCGTGAAATCACTTGATCCAAGGATGAGCTCACCGTTGAAAACTCGGTGATCACGACCAAGAACACGACCAAACTCTGAGAATGGGTCAAGACTGATGTATTGTCCAACTCCTTCCAGAAGGATGGGTGGGAATTCTTGCCGCCACCCAACGTCAAATTATCTACATACACTGACATCAGCATGCGGCCTGATTCAAGCCACCAAACAGACGGCATGTTCTCAAACTCTTTGCCGTTCATCTTGTTCTTTAGAACATCGACAAGGTAAGGCATACAAGGTCCAATGAGCACTGGACTCCGGATGCCCATATAGTGCTTTGTGAAGTGGTGCACATGGTTGAACAATGTGCCTTTGCTTGCAGGAACAAGTTCTGGTGGTAATAAAACAAAAGCCGGATGCTTTGATTTCAACAAACACTGGATGTAAGCCCGGATGCAATCGGAAGTGGCGCAAGTGTGGTCGCCAAATCGCCAATCATAGAGAAAGCCATTACAATGTTCAGTCCAGCAGTTGAACTTGGTGCACTGGCCTGCAACTCTTGGAAGGTGGCTGCCAGACCATCTGGGTCTCTCACCGCATCTCCTCGAAATACAACCCCGGCTTTAACCGTGGAGCCAGAATACCTTTTCAAGACATCAGCTTTCGCAATGCTTTCAGACCCCAACCAAGTTCCACCCTCCAACAAGCCGTTCTTTTCAGAGAGGCGGTGCGCAAGAGCATGGGTTGTGACTTCCTTGCAACCTACCTATACATGACAACGTCAATGGGCATGCATGGATTACCAAGCACGGCTTTGGAACGATGCAGATGGATGGCTCTGGGTTCACAGGCCATGGAAAATACATGCTAATTAACAACATGCTGAAATAAGCACTTATCTCAATTGCAATAAATTGCGTAACGGACTCAGATGTCCCAGTGCCTCGACTCCCGAGCGAACTTCAACTTGGAGAAGTACATCAAGCAGCCCAAGCCGCTGACAATTGAAAAGAGCCGGAAGGCCAATCAAGAAGAAAAGGCCACTGATCGTGAGGTCGGCCAACTCCGTGGACTTTTGGGAGGAATGGCATGGCCAGCAAATCAGACTCAGCCTCATTTGAGCGCTGCGACCAGTTTGGCCCAGGCTACAGTCTCAGGTGCCAAGGTGGCCGACCTCAACGAGGCCAACAAGATCCTGCACTTCGCAAAGGAGACCGCGGATATCCCTCTGACGATCCGAGCTCATGGCTCTCTCAGCCAGCTGCGTTTTGGATTTTACTCCGATGCTTCTTGGAGTATGCGGCCTGATGGGTCGTCGCAGGGTGGATGGCTTTTATTCCTTGCCTCCGAGGACCAGATCAATGGCGATCGACCCTTCCCTTTGACGGTGGTTGTGGGTGAGCATAAAGGTGCCGAGGATCTGCAGATCTTCTTTGAGCGCAGAAGCACAGATCAGGACCACCTCGGTCGACAACTTGGAATGGGCCAAGACCATGTTGGGGCTCATTCTATGGCCTTCTGAAGGCGCTGACAGTGAGCACGTGATGAAGTGGCTTGGAATTTCGCCCTGCATCACAGATGCTCGACCGCTGTTTGACGCAAGCACTTCAGCGACACCTGGAATGAAGTTGGCCGAGAAGAGAACGGCGATTGAGATCAAGATCACGGCCGAGCGACTTCAAGCCGCATGTGGCATGATGCGATGGTGCAACTCGCATCAACAGCTGGCAGACGGAGTCACCAAGTCTGCAGCCAAGACCAAGTTGGCCATGGAGCTTCGTCGAGGAGTTCTTGTCTGCGCTACGACCCTGAGTACGTGGCCGGTAAGAAGGTGAAGCAAGAAGACAAGGACAAGGAGTAGGAGTTCCTCGACAACGCGGCCCAGGAGATCGACAAGAAACACCGAATCCAGGAGAATGTCTTCCGCACCGAGGACATGGACGAGATCGACAAGGAGGAGGCAAACATTTGCCTGCTCGATGGGTGTTCACTGCCGGCTGAGAATGGCAAGCGCTACTGCACGAAGCGTCACTACCACGCGGCCCAGCACAAGTGCAACAACCCCAAGAAAGCTGAAGCAGCTTTGGCTACATGGATGGTTTTGACGGCTGCTGCTGCAGTTCCTGGTGCTGATGACGTGCGATTCACCGAAGAGCGCGTCGTGATCCCCTACATCCAGATCATTGTCATCATTGTCCTGATCATGGTGGCGATGGTTGCATCTTTCTTGGCGGGCATTAACTACGTGCGACATCGAGATCTTCGAGGTGATCCTGGTCTTGTACGTGACCTACAAGAACCCCTCGTCATGGAGGAGGAGAACATGACCCAACCATTCGAGTTGGACAATTCCTTCGTGGAGAGCTCAGTGACCTCCATCCTGAATCGCAGTGGAGAGGAGCCATCATTCTCCACCGATGGACTGGGTCACCCAGAGACCCATGAGGGTGACATCATCTCCCCTACCAACACACCAAGATTGCCAAATGGAGAGCGGGTGGAGAGCAGCAATGGAAGTGTGGTGTCATGGCTGACACCTGGACAGGTGGTTGATCTTCAAGGGGAAGGCTACTACGTCTACTCCGACGCGGAGGTGAACCAACGAAGGACGGCATTGCAGGAATCAATGCCACCATCAATAGAAGAAGCGATGACGCCAGAGCTCATCACGGCCATGATGGCAGGAACGCTGGACCCTGAGCAGCACATTCAGGTGCCCCTGGACGCCAGCGACTGGAATGGCGTGCGCCCTGATGAGCGCGCCGAGAGAACCAGAATTTTGGAGAACAGCCTGATCTTGGGCATCAACCTGGAAGAGATGAGCTACGAGAAAGACGCAGAAGCTCGAGAGCTGAGAGCCCGGCTTAGGACAGTTCGTGAGGTGGAAGCCTCTCTAAGAGAGACAGACACGCTGCTGAAGCCTCTAGGACATAGCGTTTTGATTTTCCAGCTGCAGCACTTTAAAACCTTTTTCCCCCTGTGTCAATGTAAGTCTGACGACCATTGCATGTCCAGCTGTTTCAGGGGACAGGTTGCTGTGGCTGCCGGAACATTCCGGCTCAATGCCCCTTTATCAGGGCCCTTGAGCTGCAGAGCTATGACGGAAAAGGAGACTGTGGAGATCAGGGAGGACTTCGTGAGCTGCACCCTGTGATTGTGAGCGCGGGTGTGACAAGATCTTATTAGATACAGTAGATACATAGATAGATAAATAAATAAGTCGATGGATGGATGGATGGACGGGTGGATGGATGGACAGGTTCACTGATTTGATAGATGGACATACTACCACACTCAAAGATGGATAGAATATGATAGAATAACCAAGTGGACCGACAGATTGATGGATTGTGATGCTAGATGAGCTGTAGGAGCGAAAAGCTATAGAGGAGCCATACGAGCCATTGGGGCCATAGGAGCCAGGAGCCATAGAAGCCACCAAAGCCAGAGGAACACCCCAACAAAAAAATCATCCCAAAAAAATCCGAATTAACTTATACGCCTCCTTTCAAAAATATGATGGCCAGAAACCCAATCCTTCTTGAACAATTGCCCCGCACTTCTCAGCCTTCTCCTCAAGCCATGTGGTCACCAATCCCGCTGGCATGACATCGCGGCGGCATGTGCTGCTGCAAGCTGAAGCCGAAACGCTGCCGACACACAAGCCAAGAGTCGTCAAGCGATGCTTGTGGAATAACAACCGGATACAAACCGCACTCCATGTCACCATCCCTCTCCGCGCGATGTCAAAACATATGTGTAACGGGTCATGCAGCGCCCGTGAGGCATGTGGACTGTGAGTTGGCTGCATCTCTGGGTGCATGCCCTGCTTTGAGCACTGTTGACCACACAGAGCAGTGAACCAATCAGACTATTCAGCCCAAATAGGAAACAAACCGCTGTATAAAACAATGGCTGCTCCGGCAAGATGCTCCGCATCTCCAAGCAGCCGCTGCAGCTCCAGAATTCAACCCATCGGGCATACCTGTCCATGGTCTTAGACACGGCTTGGAAAAATAAATGCAGCACCTTCTTGGCACCTGCTGTTCAAATGTGCAGGATCACGCTGCAAAGCAAATAGACTGGTTTCTTTACTTTCAATTTTTCACCTCCTCAACACCCTCAGAAACAATGCGCTCAAGTGGTTCAAAGGCAGGCTGCGGCAAATCCAACCTTGGCTCGCGGCTTCGCTGGAGACGACCTGCAACCTTTTCCCCGCTCAGGCTTCAACATTTTCTTTGGCGTCCGCTCCCTGGAAGGCAAAGCTTTGGGGGTGGAGACCTGATGGCATGGACGCGGGGGCCGCCAGGCTGTGGACCACCCGCGGAAAACAGAGAAAGCGAGACAACAAGACGAGACATTGCACCCCCCTACAGAGCACGATTTTGCACATGAGCAGCATACGCACCAAGCTCCTGAACTATATCCAGCTGTTTCAACTTGGCACATTTCCGGAATGATGGAGAAACTGCCGCGGGTCCAGGCTTGTGAGCTCATGCTTGCTGATCTTGTGCGGCGGTATTTTTCCAATGGCCTTGGGAGCTACAGTCTTCGAAAGCACCACCAACATGCGGTTGTAAGCTGTCGTAAAACCATTCGCGTGAGGCGCGGGCACACAAACCCTGCGCCCAGCATCCAGCTGAAACCACTCATGCTGCAAGGCATCCTGGGCCGTGATTCTCAGACTTGGGTCCTGAGTTTCCAATCCAGCAAAGTGCGTGCCAAGGATCCAAGAGCACACAAACATGTTGCAGCCAGTCACAGCTTTGTGAAGGCCAAACACCCTAGCGCTGTCTGGCAATCTTGACAGCATACACCTGTATGTTTCAAGTTTGCAGCCCGCATCAGCCAAGCAGCCAGAACGAGGATGTTCTTCAAAAGCTTCAGGGACTCTTCTGAAGCTTTGTTGAGCTCGTGGGCAGCCAAAGCGCGGTCCAAAGCCTGTTTGTCTAGTGGCTTCACTAATCAAGATTGACAACTTGGCTTTGGTGAGCTGGCTGGCTTTCAACTGGCATCAGTGGTCTTGCTTTCGAAGGAGCGGATAGGAGCGGCCAAAGTGAAATACCGAAAAGCTATCCTAAGGCAGCGTCAACATCTGCTGCCGGACCACCACGTCCAAACAAGCGCACCTGACAAATTCACAGATAGAGGACTGACATCCCATTTCTCAAGCATGAATTCCTCAGAAGGAATACGGTTCAACATGTCCCAGACACCTCTTGCTAGTCATTGCACAACACCAAAAAAAAGATTGACGACTAATTATAATCAGAAGAAAACCTCGAACGAAAATGCCTGATGCAAGACCCTATTGCTTCGGCGGCCTGCGCTTCCTCAGCGGGCCTTGGCTAACATGTGGGCAATGTTGTAAGGGCGCGTTACCATGAACCCTGCGAGCTTGAAGCCCCCAAACTCCTTTTACCCTTTGAGTGCGGCGCTGGATTTAATGGATCGGGCGGTTGCGCCGTGCAGGTGGTGAAAAATAAATTGCCGACCAACCCAGGCTTTCCCACGCTTTGCAAGTCTTAATCCCCCGCTTGTGCGGATGAAAGGGTGAACTGGTTCAACGCGACACTTGGTGACAATGAAATCACCTCCTAGGCTTGGCCCTGAGCAGCGCCTGTAACAAAGCCTGTGCATTGCCGACTTGGGAAAACAGTTTATTGCAGATGCGCTGACCGAGGGCTCAAACCTTTAAAGCCGCACCGCAGTACGCCTGCTAGCTCTGCAATGCATTACCAAACAAAAGGTCAATGCACACAGGTGGTCTGCGGATACGGGCCCTTCCAAATATCCCAGCAGGGGCCAAACCTGTTTGTGACAATTTATGCGTCCAAACTATCAAATTAAGGAGCCCGATGCGCAAGACAATTAATAGCTGGATAAGAGGCTTGACAAAATTAACCCACGCGCCACGCGCCCGCATTTTTTCCAAATTCGTTCGCACTTCAGAAAAAGTACCCAAAAGTGTGAGCGCTTCGGCGTTGCATAGGCGACTCGTGGCGTGGCTATTCAAGTGTCGACAGTGTCAGACAGGATCTGGCAATATCCGGCAAGCTCCAAGTTCCTTTCTCGAAGCAGAGGTGACTGTTCGAAAAATGTGCGGCTGTAGGAATTCAACGGAAACACGTAAACATGCGCGCCCAAGTGCCTGTCAACATGTACATGTACCCTTGGGGAATGCTAGATTTTCTTCCATTTGGTGGCTAGAAAACAAGGGGAGCAGCGCTTTCAGCAAAAAGTTGCACCCTGTGACCCTGTGCATGATGTTCTTGTTTAAAGGCAAAATTCGGCCACACCTGGGGACAAGTTGCTTTTTCATGCTTCTTCCCGAAGGCGCCTGAGCGTAGGGTTCTTCTAAAAAAAGGAACTTATATAATCCATCTTCACATCTTACGTCTGCAGATCTTACATCTTCGCATCTTACATCTTCAGATCTTAGAGCAAGTGTGTGAAAACGTCGGTGTGTAAACGTTTATGCGCAGCGTTTGTGTGTAAAGGCTTCTGTGTGTAAAGGCATTTCCGTGTTGGTTCCAGTGAGTTGGCTTCAAAAAAAGAAACAGAAACAGCCCAGGAACAGTTTTTTGATGTTTTTTGGACGATTTTTCGCGGGTTTTTGTAGTTTTGATACGATTTTGGATATGGTTCCGATGGGTTGGCTTCAAAAAAAGGAACCAGAAACATCCCAGAGACAGGTTTTTGGAGGATTTTTCGATGGTTTTTGTGGTTTTGGTATGATTTTGATATGGTTTTGATACGCTTTTGATGCGGTTTTGCTACGATTTTGATATGGTTTTGATACGATCTTGGAATGGTTCCGATGGTTGGCTTCAAATCACAAATTTGACCCACATCAAGAACCATAACTGAAATCCTATCAAGATCATATCTAAAACCATATCAACGTCATAACTGCAAAACCACGCCAGAAACACTTCATAGCAACAAGTCATATCTGAAATGTAGCAATGTCGTAAAAACAAGGATTTTGAAAAACCTTCATCCTAGAGACTTCGGATGTTATAAGTCTTGCTCATGTTTTCGTGGTGTTTCTGTGGTGTCTTGGCGGTGTTCCGGTGGTGTGTTGGTGGTATCGAAGAAACTGCATTTTTGAACCAAAATGGCTCACCTGGTCAATACCAAATTGGCGCCAACGGATATAAACAACTTTGCTACTGGGGTTGTATGCTGGGTTAGTGATTTGATTCTAAAACATCGTGTTCTATCACGTGCCACTGCTCCACAGCAACTAAACGCATGTTGGGGCGACTTTCCCGGGAAGTCTCCCCGAACTAAACGGGCGAGGTCAGTTCACTATAAGCAAGTAGGTCCTAGAGTGATAGGTCCCAAGGCGGCCCATACGTGCAACCAAATACCAAAGCCAGGGTTTCATCACGCCGTTGTGCTCAACATGCTGTATATCAAGTCTATCATTGTCTATGGGAGAAACGGTTTCGAAAATACAAACGTCGACGCGCAAGACACAGCTTGCAATTGCTTCCTGAGATCCCCGGCGCGTCGCCTGTAAGAAGAACATAAAGTATCACTCCGGCCTGTTGGGTCTAGTAGCTACAGCTACTGCTACAGTGAAAAAGCGGCTGAACCTGGCACGCCCGTGCCAAGATTGATATTCCAACGTTCGTAGCCGATGAATGAAAGAAAATTCAGAAAAGCATAGAAAAGCAATGAAATTGTGATAAAGTTCCAGAATGTAGATTGACAGATTAAAACAGATTAAAACGCACCGTCGTCCATTGTTGCCACGGTGAACAAAGCACTTCGAAGCAGCCGAGCATCTGACCGCCCATACATCCATCGCAGCTAGGTATGGGGCCTCGGCCTTCGATCCGATTACCTGGCAGCTGAACAGGAAGCGCGGCACCTAAAGAGCCACAGCATCTCTGCAAACAACCTTCCAAAACCCAAACTTTTCATCTTTTTCCCGAGAGCGTCTGAGCGAAGGGTTCTTCTAATAGTGGGGGTCTGTCAAACATTCTCACATCTTCACATCTTCTCATCCTCACATCCTCACATCTTCGCATCTTCTCATCTTCACATCTTCTCATCTTCACATCTGATCATCTTCACATCTTCTCACGCCTTCTCATCCTCACATCCTCACATCTTCACATCTTCTCATCTTCGCACCTTCTCATCTTCACATCTGCTCATCTTCACATCTTCTCATCTTCACATCCTCACATCCTCACATTTTCACATCTTCTCATCCTCACATCCTCACATCTTCAAATCCTCACATCTTCACATCTTCTCATCTTCACATCTGCTCATCTTCACATCTTCTCATCCTCACATCCTCATATCTTCACATCTTCTCATCCTCACATCCTCACATCTTCGCATCTTCTCATCCTCACATCCTCACGCCTTCACATCCTCACATCTTCACATCTTTTCATCTTCACATTCTGTCTTGCCCTCTTGTTCTCTTGCCCTCTTGCTCGCTCCTTCTTTTCTATTTCTCTCTTGAAGGCGCGGGGCAGTGCCAATGAGACGGCACGAAGCGCAACCCTTTCGCACGAAATGAGGTTTGATCGCCAAAAACTGCAGTAAAATTGCGATCTCTCACTTCCGGGCGCAACCCTTTCGCACGAAATGAGGTCCGATCGCCAAAAGTTGAAGTAAAATTGCGATTTGCAAGTTGTCCGGAGGCAACCCTTTGGCACGAAATGAGGTTCGATCGCCAAAAACTGCAGTAAAATTGCGATTTCTCGCTTGTTGTCCGGGCGCAACCCTTTCGCACGAAATGAGGTTCGGTTCGATCATGTTCGATCGCCAAAAACTGGGGTAAAATTGCGATTTGCAAGTTGTCCGGCGAACCCTTTCGCACGAAATGAGGTTCAATCGCCAAAAACTGAAGTAAAATTGTGATTTGCGGGTTCCCGTCGCAACCCTTTCGCACGAAATGAGGTTCGGTTCGATCATGTTCGATCGCCAAAAACTGGGGTAAAATTGCGATTTGCAAGTTGTCCGGCGAACACTTTCGCACGAAATGGGGTTCGAGCCAAAAACTGACGTAAAATTGTGATGTCACGGGCCCGGTCTGTGCGTAAAAGTGTTTGTGTGTAAACGTGTCTGTGTGTAAAAGTGTCTGTGTGTAAAAGCGTCTGTGTGTAAAAGCTTCTGTGTGTAAAAGCGTCTGTGTGTAAAAGCTTCTGTGTGTAAAAGCGTATGTGTGTAAAAGTCTCTGTGTGTAAAAGTGTTTGTGTGTAACAGTCTCTGCGTGTGAAAGTGTTTGTGTAAAAGCGTCTGTGTGTAAAAGCGTCTGTGTGTAAAAGTGTTTGTGTGTAAACGTGTCTGTGTGTAAAAGTCTCTGCGTGTGGAGGTGTTTGTGTACAAGCGTCTGTCTGTAAAAGCGTATGTGTGTAAAAGTCTCTGTGTGTAAAAGTGTTTGTGTGTAAACGTGTCTGTGTGTAAAACTCTCTGTGTGTAAAGGCTTCTGTGTGTAAAAGCGTCTGTGTGTGAAAGCCTCTGTGTGTGAAAGTGTGTGTGTGGACCATCTGAATAGATGTAAAACTTCTATCCGTTTTTGGTGCACCACTTGTTTGATTCAACTCTTCATGAATTTGTTTTTCAATGTTTACGCAGGGGGGCAGTGAATCTCATTCCATCCACTGCCCAACGAAGACGGTGGTTTGAGATTGTGATATCGGGACTGATCATCCCGACGTACCTGCAATTTCCAATTTTCAGTTTGTCGTCAATGGCCACCGGCTAAGCCCGGAACCGGCACGTCGCTTTTCCCACGGTTTTCGAACCAAACAACTGTACGGTTTTCGCAATCTGACTGAGCTGCATCAGAACAAGTAAATCCTTCGAGCAAGGACGTAGAAAGTTTTCCTTCGCACAGTTTCTCACCTCTAATCATCCAAACCGTTCCTGTCAGGTTTACTGAGGTTTTTTTTGCACGTATGATGCATTCCACATCAGTAATTCGATAAGATATTTCTGAGCAAGTGTGTCACTCATACCGTTGTCCGACAAGGTGGTATGAGCCCTTCGGGGAAAGCCTTTCTAGGCTAAAAATTGACGGTAAAACGATGTCTGAATTTACACTTTTGAATTAGTAATTCGTTTAAGTAGAGTGAACTGCTGGCCATTTTTTCATTGTTTCACACGTCGGTCGAGTGAGTGTTGAAACTGCTGGCTGCTGTGCCTGGCACCGCCTTTCTGTTCTACCGATATGCATAGCTGGAAGCCACGACAACATCCGTTTTTCAATGATGCCCAAGAGAGTACGGAGCTCGACATTTTCACATGACATGTTACCATGTGAAGGCTACAGGACATGCTTTCCAGGTTTGGCCACTTCCTTTTTGGTTTCTCGGTGAGGTTGAAATTGTGCACGTAATTCAGGGGTTGAACACGTAAGCTGTCCAGAGGGTCGTGAAATGAATGCCGAGGGCCTTTGAGCCTTATCACGAATTTTGCATGCGTTGTGGATGCATCTTATCTTTTTGAACTAATTTTGTCGTTCACAAACCTGACAGTGCTGCCATGTTTCCTGGACGGTATCCTGCCGTTCCCGACAACATGTGGACCTTCTGGAACCCGCAGACGATGGGACTTCAAAGTCAATTTTGTGGCGGTGATCTTATGAACCAACAGTCACAGGCTCAGTCTCAAGCTCAGACTCAGGCACAACTGGCGGCTCTCAGAGAGCAAAATACCATCCTGAATCAACAACTTGCGTCACAGGCTCAATCTCATATCCAGCACCTCCAACAACTTCTTCCATTCCACCAATCCACGTTCAATCCACATCCAGCTCAGTCCACACCAACAGTGCCTGAACCACCAACACCGGTGGCACCTCAATCCACACCACCGGGATCCAGTGTATCCTTCAATGCTGAAGAGATGATGCAGCAGATGAAGAACACGGTTGAAACCAGCATGCAAGCGTTTGTGGACAAGAACCAAGAGCGCCACATTAGCCAACCTCCTACTCCTGTTCAACCACCAATTCAAGCCCCTCCACCTATTCCAAGTCATCCTCCTCCACCTGATGATGTTCCACCACCACCACAACATACTCCTCGTCGCTCTCGCTCTCGCTCCCACCGGCACCGTGGGGCACCGGACAAACGTCCAATCTCTGTTCCACGCAGTCCTCGTCGAGCCAAATCAGCCAAACGAACACATCGCTCCTCTCGACCACGTTCATCACACAGGAGACGACATTCGACTTCGAGGGATCCATCCAGACGTCCCAGCAGAGCTACATCTGTCACCTTGCGTTCAGCCTCTCCACGTCGACGAGAAGTACTACCAGACAATGATGATCTACGACGTGATGAACCCAGCCATGAACCAGCTACGCTTCACCCTGCATCGTGGGAACATCAACGCTACCATCAAGATCCATCATCCCACAATGAGATACAATGAGTACTACCAGTATGACTACCAACACTCTGACCAGCCATCCACAAACAAGTGGAAATCCTGGCACCAATGGAAGGAACATCCAAAACCTCAGTATCGAACCCATCCATCGGGTTGGATTGATTATCCCAAAGCTTCTTCCAAATACCACAGTCATTATGACTCTTCCTACAAGTCTTCCACCAAACCACTCACTGCATTCTCCTCCGACCGTTCACGTCAACCTCCACACAGATCAGGCTCAATCCAATCTCGTGTCTCCACCAGTGCCGTCCCTCCAGGACATGTTCCCATCAATCTTCAAGATGGCTCGAGAGAAGAATGGGCTCGTCATGTCACGCATGCCTTGAATCATCCAGACAGGATGCGAGCTGCCAATGAGCTCAAAGCTGAAGAACGTCCTCAGCCGATCACTTCCATTCAACAAGATGCATACGATGCTGCGATGGAACAGCTCCACCAGGTCGATCCCAGAATTCCAAGTGATGTACTTAACAAGGCTGTCCAACTGTTCTTCAGCACCAATCTCCTTCCGGACTACGACCTCTCCACCTGCTACGTCCGTGAACTTCCTCATACCAACATGCTTGCCTCATTATGCCACTACCAGAAATCAGTCGATTCTCGATGCCACCTCCTTTTGACAATCAACATAATCACACCTGGGCACTCTGTCATGGCACGACCATCAAAACCGCTCAACTGATCCTCTTGGAAGGTAAGATCAGACCAGCAAACTAGTCTTACCATAAGAATCCACAGAAGTGTCCACTTACCCACCTTTGGGGCATTTTTTCTTGGCAGAGAAATCTCCAATGCGGACAAAACAATTCCGACCTGGACAGAAACGGCCCTCCTTGATTCTATGGAGAAAAAGGGCAAAGGCCAACAGGACGTCACAGTGGGCGCAATGTATAGAGGAGCCTATGAGCACATCGCCTTTCGAGCTGGTGGCAACGAAAAAGCCCAAGTCAACGTGGGCGAAAAAGGCATAGCCACCACGTCCGAGAAGTACACGATTGCCCACAGCAACCACGTGGGCTTACAATTCATAGCATTGAAATGGGCTGACCTCAAAGGCCCCAAGAAAAGCGACAAAAGTCCCAAGAACATCGACATAGGTGACACTGACTCAGAAGACTACAACTACCGCAGCAATCAAGAGCGACGTCATCGAGGCTGACCATTTAGTCTGACACAGGCTATTTCTTGTAATTTTAGCGACATTCGGCCTAAACAGGACTCCGAATTGACTTTCTAGGATTTCCCTGGACAAAAGCTCTGGACCAAAATGCACGGTTGCCTCAATCTGTTTTCGCTCTCACGTCACAGGTTTCTTTTTTGCTTCTTCCTCTTTTCCTAGGAATTGTTCTTGCTGGATGGGAATCTTGCTGTTGTTTCTCATTGTTTTTCTTTGCTTTTTGCGTTTTTCTTGGATGACACACA